CCCCCCCCGCCGGGCCCGGGGGGGGGCCGGGGCCCGCCGCTCCGCCGTCCGCCGCCATGCGCCGGACCGAACCGGAAGTGGGGGCGGGCCGGGAGCGCGCCGCGCCGCGGGGCAGCGCAGCGCCCCCTGGAGGGCGGGAGGAATTAGAGCCGCCCCGAGGCGGCGGCGGGGTGAGGGGCTCACCGGCACGGGCCTCTAAATCTGGGTTAATAACGCAGGAAGGGAAACGATTCACGTTACAGAGAGAAAAAAAAAAATCCCTATTTTTAAATCCTTATGAAACGACTTGGCATGAAAAGTCTGTCCCGTCACTTGGAGGAGAAACGGGAGCATGAAACCCAGCTGGAAGCGGGCAACACTACTTGCACGCCTGCCAGCAGCTGCTCTTCTCTGAAAACTTGCCCGTTTTCGCTGCCAGAATTTGGCAAACCCACCTAACATTAAATTGCAGACCCTGAGGGGAATTTTAATTACCGTTTGGAAAAGAAACTTGCACGGCTGTCAAGTTCAGTTGACGCGCTGGCCAACCTGTTATTCAAGATTTGTTCTGCAGTTTCCGTCCCTGTCTGTTTATCACCTAGACATTGTGAAAACTGTAAAAAGAGAACTGAACGGTTCATAGGGGACGAGACAGGGAGTCCAAGCCAAAAATGAGAAAAAGTAGTAATCAGGTAAGTGGTGTTTATACGTCCTCATTGCAAGAAAAAACACACGAAAAAAAAACCAACCAACCAACCAGATCCCAGTATCTTAGACATAACAAATACCAAGAAGCAAACCTGCAAGACCTCAAGCAAGAGACTGCACTGCTCTTTTCCTGACAGACCTGCCCAAACAAGTGTCCTCTGCCGCTTTGCCAGGCCACCTGCAGCGCCAGGTGCGTTCCTCTGAATTTGCTCCTTGGTTTGCACCTTTCTACTCAACTGTGCTCCAGAATTCCGTTTCCCAGAAAAATCCCATTGCTAGCCTTGACGACTGAAAAGTCTGGAGGACTGAGGGTTTTGCCTTGGGCCCCAAAAGTGAGTCTTTCTGAATTTGCACACAGCCTGAAATAACAGTGTGTCAACCTCAAATAATATATTTAATCCATGGGTATTATGTGATTTCAGTGGAGGGAAGGGCATAATACTGTCAAGAAACCTGTAATAGGGAGCGATGAAACAATTGCCCAAGATCACCAGGCAAGCAATTAGAAAAGCCAGAAATAGCACCCTCAGGTGCTATTTCCAAACGCCAGGTTTATAGTCTAACCCGTTGGCAACAGAGGCAGACACGATCTTTATCTGAGTTGCAAGGTGGCCCAACTATGTACCCAGCGCTGCCTAACAAGTGAACACACACAAGGCATGGATATACTAGGGTAGGGGGACAACAGCATCCGTAGCCCAAATTCCCAATAAATTCAGGCTTGAGACAGCACTCACCACTGAACTAATGGCTCTGAGCTTTGGGCTGCTTCATTTGTCTGATGCAGTACCGACTCCGAGTTCAGGCCGATGCTGTATATTCCGCTATTGTAGGGCAGATTGTTTTGGCCCCAGTGCTGCAAATACATTCTCCCGTGCTTAAGTTTCTGCTTTTCCACACACACCCACAGCAGCTAGCTCCAGTTTATGGCAGACACTTGGTGACTTGCCCATGCCATCTTTTTTTCTGTCTATAGAAAGGAAAAGAGATGCTGTAGACTTGGCTGCTGTCACCGTCGATAAATCCCGCTTCTCTTTTCTTTCTCTTTCTATCCTTCCACTTAAGGCATCCTCGCTACTTCGAAGTGATGAGCAACAACCAAGGAATACTACTAGTAATGATAATAAACGCACAAATTTAGCCGGCTTGACTATTTTAGCATATTACTATAAAGTGTGTTTCAATCCAAGAGTTTTGAGGATCGATTAAAAGGGCCCAGCAAGGCCTTGACTCCGATTTAGTTTAACACAGGCAGCTGATGCCAAGGCAGTTACTCGCAGACTCACATTTAAGCACTCGGTGTCGCGCGCAGGTTATACAGACCAGCTGGGCAAGAACAAGAATATTCCAACTGACCCAAATACGTAAAATACTGCGTTCCTGAGGCAGCTATTTTTAGCCAGGTGGCAGGAAAGAACAAAAAAATGCCCTAGTAGCCGGCATTCTGGCCTCGGTGGCTCCTGTGCTAGGTCGCCAAGAAAGCTTCTGCGAGTGGAAGCAAGGGCATGGCCACCGCCTGCCGGTTCTCCCCGGGCTGCGGAGCCTCGGCCGGGCCCCCGCGGGGGGAGAGAGGGAGGGAGGGAGGGAGGGAGACGGGGGCCCGGCTTCGCCCCTTGCCGCCACCGAGCCCCTCAGGGACCCCCTCAGGGCGGGCGAGAAGGCGTCAGCGGGGAAGAGGAAGCCGGCGG